AAAAAAAAAAAAAAAAAAAAAAAAAAATGAAGAGGGCAGTGAGTGCCAAACAGGAGCTGGGCCTCAACCCAGATCTCTTAACTCCTGGCTGCTGGCTCCTTAAAAGTCCAGAAGTGTTGTCCCAAGCCATCCCTCAACATTTCTGGGAACCACAGCTGCAGCACGATGGAGGTTCAGTGCCTCCATCTGCCCCTTCCCCAGCCATGGTTTATTCTGCTTGTCTATCTGCACAGGCCAGATGCCCATGTTCCTTATCTTATTCTCCATTTACGCAGTCACTGGGGCTCCCTCCCGTCTGATGCGCCAACCAAATTTGCCTTACAGTGTGCTCCAGAACAGAAGGCCAAATCCCAGGCATTGTCAGGGCAGCAGAGCTCCACAGGACAGGCTTACCTGCGTGGCCAACACTTCAGTTTACAAACTCCTCCCACCTCCAGTCACTGACACATGCTATTCTAACACAGGTCAGGCAGGCATTATAATCCCCATGTTCAGAAGCAAAGACCTAGCCTTAGAGAAGTGAAGAAACATCATGCCAAGGTCACTGGCTGCCAAGCGGCAGAGGTGGGGTTGTATCCTGAGAACTTCCCAGAATGCCTCTGCACAGCGCCATTCCTTGGCTAGCTCTCTCCACCCCAAGGGACCCAGACTGCACTCTGACAAACAGGACACAAGTGTTTTTGAACAAACTTTTTTTTTTTACATCTAGAATAAATTATTTAAATTATTTCACAGCAAGGGAGAGGGATAGGTAATTTTTATCAGATATTTTTTTAAACCATCTGTTTTTTAAATTACGTTTTTGTTTGTGTTCTTGAGCTGATGTAGTGGAACTCGACCAGCATTTTCAGGGCCCAGCCAGTTGGCAGAGCAGGCCTGCATCTCCTTATTCCATACCCTGGGCGTCCCCTTTCTGTTGACTCAGGAACTTTCTGAGAATGAGGACAGCACTAGGAGATGGGCTTTGGTGGGTGTCCACCTTAACGCTACAATAATTGTGCTTCCTGGAACAAAACTTGAGATTGTATCACAGAAGGAAACAGGAAGTCAGAAATCAAATCTATGCTTTTAATTGCAACTGTGCCTGACACCGTTTGAATGATTGTTTTAATGTTGTTTCTGAAATTCCTTGTACCTTTGTGAAAAATAATAATAAAAGTGAAAATAAATAGATGTGGAATGTGCAATGGAAATAATGTAACAAAATAATAAACATCTGGCCAGACATTTACAACATGGAGCTTTCGTTTTCTTGATTTGTTCCACAAATACCAATTCACTATCTACTGTTGGAGTTAGACACCAAGCTGGAAAACAGGTAGGACAGACATAGTCTTTGCCCTCTCCAGTTTTCAGTGATGGTTTGGGGAATGAGGAGGGCCAGAATAGGGGAAGCGTAAGCTGTTTTGGAAGGAGAAGCAGGGAAGGCTTCCTGGAGGAGAAGATAGTAAAGTAGAAATTTGCAAGATCAGTTGGAATACTCAGGGCAAAGGGTATTTGGGAAGAAGACTGTTCCAAGTAGGACAAACTGCACGTCCCCCAGTCTTGAAAAAGCAAAGGGTGGAGCATAGGCAGGGCAGGGACCAAGGATCTTAAGAAAGAGCCAAGGAGACAGGGCATGGTGGCTGATGCCTGTAATCCCAGCACTTTGGGAGGCCGAGGCGGGCGGATCACAAGGTCAGGAGTTCAAGACCAGCCTGGCCGATATGGTGAAACCCTGTCCCTACTAAAAATACAAAAATTAGCTTGTCATGGTGGCACACGCCTGTAGTCCCAACTAAGAATTGCTTGAACCCAGGAGGCAGAGGTTGCAGTGAGCTGAGATTGTGCTACTGCACTCCAGCCTGGGTGACAGAGCGAGACTCTGTCTCAAAAAGAGAGAGAATGGAAGGAAGGAAGGAAGGAAGGAAGGAAGGAAGGAAGGCAGGCTGGCCTTATAAATGGGAGCTGAGACTTGAGCCTGGAGCAAGTGGAATTAGTGGTGGGAGTGCATGTGTGAAAGTTGTCAGTACCAGGATGGAGTCACTTACGTCAAAACTAAACTAAAGGGTGCTCCTGTAGTCTCAGCTACTCCAGAGGATGAGGTAAGAAGGTCACTTGAGCACAGGAGAGTGGAGGGCCCTCACCAATGATTTGCCTGCTAACAGGAACTATTATTGCATGATGATAGGTTGCACCAAACTGCAACCTTGCACAAAGAACCACAATCTTGCACAAAAGCCACCGTATGAGGACATCTGCCCAGCAACTGCCTGTTCAACTTTTGCGCTGAAGCCACCGTATTTATTCTTGTAACCAAGTATTATTATTTTAAAACAATATATGCGATCCTCCTCGTTTTGCCTTTAAAAGCCTCCGCTTGAGGTTGCGGTGAGGGGAGATCGCGCCATTGCGCTCCAGCCTGGGTAACAAGAGCAAAACTCCGTCTCAAAAAAAAAAAAAAAAAAAAAAAAGCCTACGCTTTCCTTTGCCTCCCTGAGTACTCCGTGCCCCCACCCCTTGGGTGCCATGGCACATTTATTCCCAGATTGCAATCCTTCTGCTCAGTCCGAAATAAACTCATTTGGAGAATGTCTGTGTCATTATTTGAGGTTGACAAGGTGTCTCACAATTGTGGGAATGGCTATCTTTCCCGGGAAAAGGGCAAGAGAGGGTCAGGAGAAAGAGGCGCACCGTCCCCCCGACCCCGGCAGGTCACAGCCAACTTTGGTCCCATCATCAGGGCTGCAGTTTTCTAGGCGTTACTGGACCAGCGTCATTAAGCAGGAAGCCCACCCTCTCCCAGCTGGCCCATTAGGAGCCTCCCATGTCTGCTGGGGCCACCTCCCGACCTGGGCGGACCGAGGGAGCACCCTGCTGGTCGGAGGATGCTCCGAGGCCCTTCGCTGCTCCCGGCTGGCTGCCATCCTCCAGGCGGCCGGGGGCGCCCTGCGGTCCTCCAGTGCCGGAGCTGGGCAGGCCTGGAGCCGCCCCGCCCACGGCCGAGGTTTCGGTTTCCCGTGGGAGCCCCGCCCAGTGCCCCGGGAGCCCGAGGCGGCGGAGATGAATGGCGGGTGCTGCGGCTGGAAACCTGACCCCTGGGGGGTCGGAGCTCGTCGAGGGATGCCGCTGGCTATGCCCGGAGCACGGCGACCGCGTGACCGAGCTCTTCTGTCGCAGCTGCCGCCGCTGCGTGTGCGCGCTTTGCCCAGTGCTGGGCGCGCACCGCGGCCACGCGGTGGACCTGGCGTTGGAGGCGGCGGTGCACGTGCAGGTGGGGACCGTGGGGACGCCGCGCGGGAGTTGTGGGAGGCAGCCCAGGCACAACGGCAGAGGAGGGGGCGTGTCTGCCATCCCGTGGCCAGGGGCGGGTAACAACCTGGAAACCAGACGTGCCCCAGAGGGCGTCTAAGCAGTCGACCGAAAGTTCAGAACGCGAGACTGAAACCCAACGAAGGGCAAAGGCGAGCCAAGGCCATCAGTTGAGCTTCAGAAAAGGTGGGTTTAGGAGTGTAGAGGTTGGGAGCCCAGACTGGTACCCAGATGTCCTTGACCCTGTCCACCATGGCGGGTCCACCACACTGCCATTGGGTTGGAAGACAGTGCCTTTCAGTTAACAGAGGTGCAAACCCTCCCTGTTAATAAGCAGCTCTGTGTAGCTCAGAAAGTCACACAGACATCTTCAGTTTACTCAATCTGTAGTCTACAGAAAGGGCCTGTGAACCTTGAACTAAGGACGGCCCGATTGCCCTGGGAGCAGCCTCAACAGTCACTACCTACCTCCTCTCCCCTCACCGGCCACACAGACACTCCCATTCCTGCTCACAGCAGCCCTGTGTGAACTATTATTATTACAGCCATTTTATAGGCCACAAGAGGAAGGCTCTGAAGGCAGGGGCAGGCCTTGAACCCAGGACTCCATTAGCCAGATGCCCCCAACAGGGCCTTTCTCATCATGGAAGCCTCACCCATGCATAATCCTAGCAGTGGCCAGGGGCTTTGTGCTCCTGCTCCAGCTTCCCAGCTGACTTATTCTGTGGCTCCTCTCAAATCCTCTCTCTCTGCGTTTCATGAAGCCTGGGTGACGCAGGCCCTCCTGTCTGATAGATGTTGATTCTACCACTTCCGTTTCAAGAAGTCTTCTGTGATGAACTCGGCCCCATGGAGAGTTCTTCCCCTGCACCGCACACTCCAGACCACTACATTGTGACAGCCTTGGAACTCCAAGGTGAAAAGGAGAGCATGGGGAACAATCCATTGGAATCCTGGGCTCAAGACCTGTCCCTGCCATCAGACCCTTCCATTTTTTATGTATGAAATGGCTGTAATTATAATAATAGCTCCTTGAAAAAGTGTTATTGAGAATTAACAAGGCTGCTTTCCACAGATCTGGCTCGAGTCTCACCCATCCGTTTGTCCACCCTCTACCCACCTACCTACAGTCAACTTCAAGTAATAAGATTCAGAAAATATGATTAAGTACAGAGTTTATCTAAGCCCAAAGCTTGGGGATGGCAAACTAGGACCAGAGATTCAAATTTCCCTGACTGTCCACTCTAATTAGCAGCAATTACACATACGTTTTTGAGGAAAAAAGCAGAGGCAGTTCCTCAATTGTTTACCAAGAATTTATATGAAAATAACATAGTGGTCGGGCATAGTGGCTCATGCCTATAATCCTAGCACTTTGGGAGGCTGAGGCTGGAGGATCACATGAGGCCAGGAATTCAAGACCAGCCTGGCCAACAGGGTGAAACCCCTTCTCTACTAAAAAATATGAAAATTGGCCGGGTGTGGTGGTACATGTCTGTAAACCCAGCTACCCAGGAGTCTGAGGCATGAGAATCGCTTGAACCCAGGAGAGGGAGATTGCAATAAGCCAAGATCATCCACTGCACTCCAGCCTGGGTGACAGAGTGAGACTCTGTCTCAAAAAAAAAAAATAAAATAAAGAAATAAAAGAAAAAGAGAATCTCTATGGCAGAACAACACCAACCCTATTCCACTGGGGCGTCAACTAAAAACATCATGAAGAAAATCCTAAACTTTCCTTAAAAGCCAGGAATTTGGCTTCTACAACTTTGTCTACAACCTTCCTTGTTGTAGCCAGGAAATAATTCAGAATTTAGTCCAAAATGTAGGAAAATAATAAAAACTCAAAAACAATGGCCAGGGCTGGAACCTAATAACAGGAATAACAAGTGTGCTAAGATTTTCTTCTGAAACATGATTTTTCTCTCTCTAGTTCCTTGCTTTTACCAAAGATGAGTCTTGATAGGACAAATTTACTTGCAAAATAAGTTTTAGTATTATACTTGGCCTTTTAATTTGCACTGTTGAAACTTTTATAAGGAATTTTGGATTCAACTTTTTTTTTCTTTTTTTTTTTTTTTTTTGAGACATAGGGTTTCGCTGTGTCACCCAGGCTAGAGTGCAATGGCATGATCTTCGCTCACTGCAACCTCTGCCTCCCAGGCTCAAGCGATCCTCCTACTACCTCGGCCTCCCAAGCAGCTGGGACTATAGGCGTGTACCACCATACCAGGCTATTTTTTTTGAATGTTTTTTTTAGAGACAGGGTTTTACCATGTTGTCCAGGCTGGTCTAGAATTCTTGGGCTCAAGTGATCCTCTCACCTCCGCTTCCCAAAGTGCTGAGATTATAGGCATCAGCCACCATGCCTGGCCTGGATTTGACTTTTAAAAGCCTCACAGCTAAAAAGCTAAACCAGGGATTCACCATCAGACTATGCCTGTGATACCCATACACATTGGGTGAATTCTTCTCTTTTCAAGGTCCCAAAATATCTTGAGGTTTCTCAAGATATTTCTTCTTTTCTGAAGACAGTCTCATTCTGTTGCTTAGGCTGGGGTACAGTGGTACAATTTTGGCTCACTGCAGCCTCTGCCTCCCAGGTTCAAGTGATTCTCCCACCTCAGTCTCCCAAGTAGCTGGGACTACAGGTACCACTCCTGGCTAATTTTTGTATTTTTTGGTAGAGATGGGGCTTTACCATGTTGGCCAGGCTGGTCTTGAACACCCTGACCTCAAATGAAGTGCCCACCTCAGTCTCTGAAAGTGCTGGGCCCCCTTTTATTTTATTCTTGTTAACATTTTTTAATAGAGGCGGGGTCTCACTATGTTGCCCAGGCTGGTCTCAAACTCTTGGACTCGAGTAATCCATCTGCCTCAGCTTCCCAAAGTGATGGGATTACAGGCTGGAGCCACCAAGCCAGGCCCCCAAGGGTCTCTTTATGGGCTCTATAAAGTCGACTTCAGTTCCTAAAAGCAGTCTGGTCATACCTGAAGATACACCATTTCAGTCAAAGCCTTGGTAAAATTACCAGTGTCTCCAATGTGGTCTGTTATGAAAGAAAATGTATTCTTACTGAATTTATGCAAATAACTATATTGTCCTAAAATAAGAATACTCACAAATAGCCAGGCATAGTGGCTCACACCTGTAATCCCAGCACTTTGGGAGGCTGAAGTGGGCAGATCACTTGAGGTTAGAAGTTGGAGACCAGCCTAGCCAACATGGTGAAACCCCATCTCTACTAAAAATACAAAAATTACCCAAATGTGGTGGTGTGCACCTGTAGTTCCAGCCACTCAGGAGGCTGAGGCAGGAGAATCATTTGAACCAGGAGGCAGAGGTTGCAGTGAGCCAAAATCGTGCCACTGCACTCTGCCCCACTCTGGCCTGAGTGACAGAGCAAGACTCCATCTTAAAAAAAAAAAAAAAAAAAAAAAGAATACTCACAAATAGTTTGCAGATTTTGGAGAAATCAGGTAGAGAGAAAGGCAAATGTTTCAATTTTGCTCACAAAAGTGTATTTTATCCAGTTGCTGTGACAAAAGAAAAAAAGCTATTTGACTGAAAAACAAAATATAAAAAGAATTAGCAATGTTTTGAATTTTTTAAATCATAAAAATCACTTTTGTCTTCTATCAGTTTAGTCCCATGTAAATAATTCTTGCTCTGCTTGATGTTGGGTTAGCAGTCTTCATGAATGCCTCAGGTTTTCATTAGAGTTCTGGAAATTTTTACTTAGTCCAGTGGTATGATCTCTGAAGTTACCAGAAACCTGTATTCAAGAGTACTTGTCAGGGTCTTTTCCAAAAATTTCCTTAAAGAAGCAGAAAATTTTGGACCATAACTGATTATAAACTACTTTCTTAAAAAAAGAATCAAACTAAGGCCGGGCACAGTGGCTCATGCCTGAATCCCAGCACTGTGGGAGGCTGAAGCAGGCAGATCATCTGAGGTCGGGAGTTCAAGACCAGCCTAATCAACATAGAGAAACCCGGTGTCTACTAAAAATACAAAATTAGCCAGGTGTGGTTGCAGTCACCTGTAATCCCAGCTACTCAGGAGGCTGAGGCAGAATCACTTGAACCTGGGAGGTTGTGGTGAGCTAAGATTAAGCCATTACACTCAAGCCTGGGCAACAAGAGTGAAACTCCATCTCAAAAAGGAAAAAAACCCACAAATAAGAATCAAAATAAAACAAAAATTGTCTATGGATGGTAAAAGGCTTAGGATAGCCATGGTTCAAGATGAAATTGACCAGGACATTTGGTATTTGTGTGGCATACAACAGTTTATCATAATAATTATGATAATAATATACTGATAACATATACTAAGACATATCAGACTTTTAGGAATCTCATACAATGTTGGAACACATTAATAATACATTTTTATAAATATAACTCAAAGAAAGTTGAACATCATTGCTTATTTGACAATATTTCCCATATGACTTTGACATACCCAATAAGCCTAATGTGTCTCTTTTGGACTTGCAGAGGTTCTGGTTATGCCCAAGTCAGCTTGGGTCAAAAAGTGTTAATTTTTGAATTTGAAATTTAATTTTGGGAAGTATCTCAAATATTAAAGGTTTAAAACACTTGTTATAATAATAAGAAAGATTTAAAACACATGATCAAAATAGAATCACAGGTCACTACAAAATAATGATAATTCATTTTAGCCAAAATGATAATTCAAAGATTTCAAAAACCAAAAACCACTCTGATAGAGGAGATTCAGTTCTCAATCAAGATACCTAATAAAGACAGCATGGGACAAACTCCCCTGTTACCTTTTCTTTGCCATTAATGCAAAAGTAAATATACCTTTTACCTTATTAATATCACATTACATTGTTATTCAAAGAAGAAAAACAGGCCGGGCGCGGTGGCTCAAGCCTGTAATCCCAGCACTTTGGGAGGCCGAGGCGGGTGGATCACGAGGTCAAGAGATCGAGACCATCCTGGTCAACATGGTGAAACCTGTCTCTACTAAAAATACAAAACTTAGCTGGGCATGGTGGTGCACGCCTGTAGTCCCATCTACTCGGGAGGCTCAGGCAGGAGAATTGCTTGAACCTAGGAGGCGGAGGTTGCAGTGAGCCGAGATGGTGCCATTGCACTCCAGCCTGGGTAACAAGAGTCAAATTCCATCTCAAAAAAAAAGAAAAACAAATTTTACTTTTAGGCCCCAGGCACAGTGGCTCATGCCTATAATCCCAGCCCTTTGGGAGGCCAAGGCTGGTGGATGACTTGAGCTCAGACGTTCAAGACCGCCTGGGCAAAACTGTGTCTCTACAGAAGATACAAAAATTAGCTGGGCATGGTGGTGCATGCCTATAGTCCCAGCTACTTGGGGGGCTGAGGTGGGAGGATTGCTTGAGCCTGGGAGGTCGAGGTTGCAGTGAGCCAAGATTGCGCCACTGAATTTCATTCTGGGTGACAAAGTAAGACCCCATCTAGAAAAAAGAAAAAAATTACTTATGTATTAGTATATAATCAGCCATCCAATCTCAGTCAGCTTTGACCACACAAGACAAGAGTTCCATAAACCTTAATAATCGCTCACCATTTTCTATTAAAGAGCAGATCAATGCTGTGATAAAACTCTGTTGTTCCAACACAGGAGCCCAGACTCTGGCCTTATGTGAGTGTGCTTTTGATGTTAATACTCAAGTTTTAGAAAACTTATAAATGATCTCCTTCTGATTTTTTTTTTTTTTTTGAGATGGAGTTTTACTCTTGTTGCCCAGTCTGGAGTACAGTGGTGCTATCTAGCTCACTGCAACCTCTGCCTCCAAGGTACAAGCAATTCTCCTGCCTCAGCCTCTCAAGTAGCTGAGATTACAGGTACATACCACCACGCCCAGCTAATTTTTGTATTTTTAGTAGAGACGGGGTTTCACCATGTTGGCCAGGCTGGTCTCAAACTGCTGATCTCAGGTGATCCACCTGTCTCAGCCTCCCAGAGTGCTGGGATTACAGGAAGCCACCACGCCTGGCCATTTCCTTCTAATTTTAAACAACTTGGTCACATGTAAAATTTCTTTTATGAGATTAATCTTCCACAGACCTTCTATAATTTGCTTAAATCTTCAGTTTTGTCCTATACTTCCTTTTTATTTTGGCGTTCTACCTTTGGACAAAGCTGTACTTCCCTTTTCCCATTATCATTCTGACTACATGAAGTTCTCTCTCATGCAAAAGAAAAATTCCTCTTTTTCAACTCTCTTTACCAAAAATACATCTGACTTTCTTTATACACTCTGTAAATATAATTGTTTCTTTTATATCAAGTAGTTATTAAGTACAATTTCCACTCTTAGTAACCTGAATTTCCAGTGAAAAACCTAGGAAGTAAGTCATTTTGAGCTCTTTTCTACCACCATTTGTAATTGAAATAATTTTATAATTTCTAGAAAGATGGCTCCTCAATTTTTGTAACAGATCTAAATATATTTAGCTTTTCTATACCATATAAATAACTCAGACACTTTATGATGACCTATTACTTAATTTAGCATAACATGTTACTGAAAACAACTTTTAAAACTATGAAATGTTCATTTATAAACTTTTATCTCATTCATTTTTTTTTTCATTCATAGCAATTTTGCCTGAATTGTTCATTATGCAAAGCTAGCCATCATCAATTTATTTCTTTGGTAATCATTTCTATAGCTTGTGAATGTCAGCCTCCCAAGCAGCGGGGACTACAGGCATTCTCCACCATGCCCAGCCCGGCTTCTTGTTTTGTTTGTTGTTTTTTGGTAGATGTGAGGTCTTGCTATTTTGCGCAGGCTGGTCTCAAACTCCTGGCCTTAAGTGATCCTCCCACCTCAGCCTCCTGAATAGCTGGGATTACAGGTGCAAGCCACCATGCTCAACTCTTGAATCTCATTATGTAAGGTTGACACTATGAATACCCATTTTGCATCCACATATCCACCTTCCTATCCATTCACCCATTACTCATTCATCCATCCACCATTCACCAAACATCTATTCAGTATGTATTTTAGGCCATGACTCAAGGAATAGATCAGATCCTTCCCTGATCTGGAAGAGTTCCGTGGCTGGTTGGGGGAGAAGCTGGCAGGTCCTGATAATTCTTTTTGTTTGTTTGTTTGTTTGTTTGTTTTAGACAGGGTCTTACTAGCCCAGGCTGGTGTGCAGTAGCGTAGTGGCATGGTCATGGCTCACTGCAACCTTGACCTCCTGGTCTCAGGAGACTCCCCCCAACCTCAGCCTCCCAAGTAGGTAGGATTACAGGTGCATGCCACCATGCCCAGCTTTTTTTTTTTTTT